CAAAACCTACTCACAGTGTTCCCGGCCAAAATTGCATCATTTCTGGGAAAATATCTGGGCCTTCGCCTTCACTTTCATCGACAAGGTTCATGGTAGACTACCCAGATGGAAAGTCAGGAATATGGCCAGAGTGGGCAGAGTGCCTCTTGCCAAGTCCTCTCTCACCTCTCTCACCACATTTCATATGACGGTCATCCCACTGCCAAAGTGGTCCAGTGCCAAGCTAGACAAGATCACGAACAATTTCGTCTGGTCTGGTGCTGATAGTGACACTGTTGGTGCTGGTTATTCGCTAGTTAACTGGAAGATGGTCTGTTACCCCATGGTTCTTGGGGGCCAGGTGTCACGGACCTGGAGCGCTTCGGGAAGGCGCTCAGACTGCGACATCTCTGGCTAAAATGGAACGACTCGAAGCGACCATTGGCCCAATCCCGGCTCCCCTGCGATGCTTCTAACTTGGCCCTCTTCAGGGTCTCCACGACCATCACCATTCGAGACGGGCACAAGGCCTCCTTTTGGCATGACAACTTGTTGGGTAAAGGGGCACTACGACTTTTGTCGTACCCCGATCTTTTTGCCATCTCTCCTCAAAAGAATAGATCGGTGCATGAAAAGCTTCAGAACGGTATCTGGATTCATGCAGCGGCTAAGATGAACGGGCTGGACCGGCTGTCGAAATTCATTGGTTTGGCCTCCACTGAACCTCACCACCCTGGACCCGCACAATCAGGACTCCATCTCGTGGAACTGGAACCCCAGCGGTGAGTACTCGACCGGCGGCTTATGGACTCAATTCTTGGGCTCTATCTGAGGTTCTTGATGAAGGAAATATGCCCTAGAGGCAATAATAAAGTTATTATTTATTTCCTTAATTCATGATAAATGTTTATTATTCATGCTAGAATTGTATTAACCGGAAACTTAGTACATGTGTGAATACATAGACAAAACATATAGTCCCTAGTATGCCTCTACTTGACTAGATCGTTAATCAAAGATGGTTAAGTTTCCTAACCATAGACATGTGTTGTCATTTGATGAACGGGATCAAATCATTAGGAGAATGATGTGATGGACATGACCCATCCGTTAGCTTAGCATTATGATCGTGTCCGTTTCATTGCTACTGCTTTCTTCATCACTTATACAGGTTCCTCAGACTATGAGATTATGCAACTCCCGAATACCGGAGGAACACTTTGTGTGCTAACAAACATCACAACGTAAAAGGGTGATTATAAAGGTGCTCTACAGCTGTCTTCAAAGGTGTTTGTTGGGTTGGCATAGATCGAGATTAGGATTTGTCACTCCGTGTTTCGGAGAGGTATCTCTGGGCCCTCTCGGTAATACTCATCAGTATAAGCCTTGCAAGCATTGTGACTAATGAGTTAGTTGCTGGATGAAGTATTACGGAACGAGTAAAGAGACTTGCCAGTAACGAGATTGAACTAGGTATTGAGATATCGACGATCGAATCTCGGGCAAGTAACATACCGATGACAAAGGGAACAACGTATGTTTTTATGCGGTTTGACCGATAAAGATCTTCGTAGAATATGTAGGAACCAATATGAGCATCTAGGTTCCGCTATTGCTTATTGATCGAAGATGTGTCTCGGTCATGTCTACATAGTTCTCGAACCCGTAGGGTCCGCACGCTTAATGTTTGATGACGATTGGTATTATGAGTTTATGAGTTTTGATGTACCGAAGGTAGTTCGGAGTCCTGGATGAGATCACGGACGTAACGAGGAGTCTCGAAATGGTCAAGACATAAATATTGATATATTGGAAGGTTATATTCGTACACCGGAATGGTTCCGAAGTGTATCGGATATTTTTCGGAGTACCGGGAGGTTACCGGAACCCCCGGGATTCAATGGGCCTTAATGGGCCCTAGTGGAGATAGGAGGCAGCGGGCAAGTGGTGGGGCGCCCCCCTAGGCCCAAACCGAATTGGTTTAGGGTTTGGGGGGCCGCCCCCCCCTTTCCTTCTTCTCTGCTCCTCCTTCCTCCTTCTCCTAATAGGAATAGGAAAGGGGGGGAGCCAAACCTACTTGAAGTAGGACCCCCCCCCCCTTGGGCGCGCCTCCTCTTGGCCGGCCTGCTCCTCCCGCCCTCCTTTATATACGTGGGGATGGGGGCACCCAAAGGCATAACAGACAACACAAGTTGACATTGTTTAGCCGTGTGTGGTGCCCCCCTCCACAGTGACACACCTCGGTCATATCGTCGTAGTGCTTAGGCGAAGCCCTGCGCCGGTAACTTCATCATCACCGTCACCATGCCGTCGTGCTGACGAAACTCTCCCTCGGCCTCAACTGGATCAAGAGTACGAGGGACGTCCCCGAGCTGAACGTGTGCTGATCGCGGAGGTGTCGTACGTTTGGTACTTGGATCGGTCGGATCATGAAGACGTACGACTACATCAACCGCGTTGTCATAACGCTTCCACTTTCAGTCTATGAGGGTACGTGGACACACTCTCCCCTCTCGTTGTTATGCATCACCTAGATAGATCTTGCGTGATCGTAGGAATTTTTTTTGAAATTACCGTGTTCCCCAACACTTGAGCGATAAAATCTTGAAGATGCACGCAGAGCCAAAGTGTAAGCTCTTCTCCTGGCTCGTCCTCCACAACACGATCCTCACGGTTGATCAGTTGGCCATGCGTGACTGGTGCGCAACCTGGTCTTCCAGCTTTGTCTAAGTGCCCTTGAGACCGTTGACCATCTCTATGAGGGTTCTCCATTCAGTTTCGCCATGCGTAGCCTAGTGCTGTTGTGGGCAGGCGTGCCGTCGGCTTTCGCTCTAACGGCTGCCACCCCTTCAATTGACGTCTGGTGGCACGAAGGCCTCAAGGACAACGAGAACACTATCAGAAGGTGATGCGGTGGCATCCTCATTTATGTAAGATTTAAATGTACTGGAGGTCCAACCGTTTGGTGGGTGTCACTTTAGTCCTAATTCTTCCAAAATGCACCTTTAGGTCCTAAACTTTAGTAAGTGGTTCATCCGAGGTCCTTTTTTCATGAGTGCTCATTGACCTGCCCGCGTGGCACATTAACCCATGCCACATCGACAGAGGGCCCAACCGTTTGGTGAGAAAAATAAATTGGGGGTCCTGGAACTGGAAGTTTCTGGGTAGTGTCACTTTAGTCCTACTTCTTTCCAAATGCACATTTAGGTCCTAATTCTATAGTAAGTGGTTCACCCAAGGTCCTTTTTTGCACGATCGTTCCCTGACCTACTTGGTTGTGCGTTCCTACTTGGTTGCGCGTTGACCCACACCCCATCGACTTAGGGTCCCTAGCAGACGAGGAACATTGCAAAAACACTATTTTTTTGCGCCGCTATTGTCGCGGAGCTATGTGTTTTCCTCTAATCTGCCACAATCACTAGCTGTAGGCATTGATTTAGTTCAATTTGCACTGTTTCATTAAGTTTCTCTAACTGCTTGCTTTGATTTGAGGTTAGGCATTAGGTGCTTGCGGAGCCACCGACGATGCTGCAACGCTCCCCTTTGTCACCTGCTTCCCTGCCAAGGAGCTTGCTACCCCAGCCATGGCGAAGGTGTGAGCACGAGAGAGAGGAGAGGGAGAGGGAGAGAGATTCGTTAAGGGCTGGGGAATGTCAAAAGGGGGGTTGACAACGGGCTTTCTGTAAAAAAAGAGCAACCACAGCAGCCTCTAAGTTGATATGGCATGAGTCAACGCGTCATGCCAGTAGGTCAGTGAACGATCGTTCAAAAAAGGACCTCGAGTGAACCACTTACTATAGAATTAGAACCTAAATATGCATTTTGAAAGAAGTAGGACTAAAGTGACACTGCCCAGAAACTTTTAGGACCTCCAGTGTATTTTTCTCTCCTAACGGTTGGGCCTGCTGTTGACGTGGCATGGGTCAACATGCCATGTGGGCAGGTCAGCGAGCGCTTGTGAAAAAAGGACCTCAGATGAACCACTTACTAAAGAATTAGGACATAAAGGTGTATTTGAAAGAATTAGGACTAAAGTGACACCCCAACGAAACTTTTAAAACCACGATGCATTTAACTCTTGATATAACGTGGAATGCCTGGAAGGAAAGAGACAAACGCATCCTTGAAGGCACGAGACTGCCATACATCGAGGTGACCCATCTCGCCTTCAAGGAGATTTCACAGCGGGAGTTGGAGCTATCCTAATTCATGAGTAGTTAGCATGCGGCTTTTACTCGGATACATGAGATCTTGGGTTTACCGACATGACCCCTCCTAAAACATGCCAACCTCTAAATATTTCCCCCTTCTTAGTGAAAAGGCTCCCGCCGTTCGCTCAAAAAAGATAGAAGGTGTGATTTTCTCACCTAGTTTATTCAAATCTAATTGCAGCTTCTTCCTCCTAGTGTTCTCCCTCACTTTTCCCAGATCCATGAACAGCTAGTATCGTTTTTTGTACAGCGCCTGGTGCAAAAAAGAAATGGCAAAACCAAAACCCATATTTGTAGTTTTGTACTGGTGAGGGGCCGTTGACGTACGGGACATAAACCTTAGTATTCACAATGCATATAGAACTACGAGGCAAGAATGTCCAGGGCGGCGTGCAGCGACGTACGCAGGGTGTTTGTGACGTTTCAAGCAGGGTGTTTGGCCCCGCTTTCCAGGCTTGTTCTCTGAATATGAAACCACAAGTCCAAGGGAGCACGCACAGAGGAAAACGGCTGCATATCCAATCACACCGCTGTGCAACTACGTACGCACGTGCTTTGGGCCGTCTATACCGTGCATCGCAATGCACGTCAGACAAAGTGAACGCGGGGAGCTTCTTCCGTGATGCATCCACACGCCTCAAACTGGCCGATGGCTATTTAAGCTCGATCTTCTCCCACATCGATCTGCACCAAGGCAGCTTACTACTACTAGCTAGCTAGAGATCAGTTAACAGCTGATTGTGGACACCAGCTACGTAGGTACACATCCTTGCTCACAGGTTGCAAAATGGCTTCTCTCACGAGTAGTCCATGGCTTCATCTCCTGCTGCTTCTCGTGGCCATGGGCAGGTTCGCGGCAGCCGGTGGCAGCGGGAACCCACCGCCGGGTTCCAGAAGGTGCAGCCTGCCGACGGCGATTTCCAGGTGCAGAGCCCGTACAACGTGCCGGAGAGCCAGCGGTTCCAATACCGCAACGGTGTGCGGACGTTCTGGGTGCATCGAAACGACAAACCCTTCAACACCGCCACGCACACCAACCCGCGCTCTGAAGTCAGGCTTCGGGTAAGTACATAGCAGCACATTGTTAAAATTCCTATGTTCCAAACCGGCCATGGCGTCACCTATATGAGCTATGTTCTTCCAGGGCCACGACTACTCGTCGGGGGTGTGGCAGTTCGAGGGCTACGGCTACGGCTACGTGCCTTCGGGGACCTCCGGCGTGTCGGTGATGCAGATCCATAACGAGGAGGACGCCGCGCACTCAACGGTGTTGATGTTGCACGTTTACGACGGCGTCCTCCGGTTCTACAGTGGGGCGGCCGTCGAGCCCAACATCTACGACAGGTGGTTCCGCCTCAATGTGACGCACGACGTCGGTGCATCCACAGTGACCGTGTATGTCGACGGCGAGCACAAGTTCGGCACCACCGTCACCCCTAGCGAGTCCTACTACTTCAAGTTTGGGGTCTATATGCAGCATCATGACCAATCCAGCTGCATGGAATCACGATGGACCAACGTCACGCTCTATACTAAGCACTAGACGGTAGATAGCCATGTGTCCTGGTAATGCCTACTAGTATGTCGTATATGTTTAAACCACCCTATCTATATTACATTATTACCATCGGAAGTTGAATAAAGGTTGTTGCTTGGAGTAGTACACGCACATGTGAGCTCTAACATGCCCGTGACTTGTTTCTTAGAATTTGGCTCCCGATAACTGCCACACGTGTGGTGTATCGGATAGTTGTGCCACACGCCTCGTGTGGCATGGACATCAACCAGCCCACACACCTACGTGTGGGCAAAACAACTAATTCCCCCACACAACTTGTTTTCCCTCTCGAACCCTCTCACACGCATGCGTGTGGGCGAAGTTGATAACGCCCACACGCCCGTATGGCAGGCCTCATACCCTCCTGGTTCCGCACGCGACACGTGACGCCCACCGCGCCCGCAGTTGCCATGGTCCAGACCCTCGTCCATGTTTGTTTAACTGCAGTTGCCATGTCGTTGAACTACGGTTGCCATGTCGGACAATTTAACTGCAGTTGCCATGTCGTTGAACTACGGTTGCCATGTCGGACAACTGCAGTTGCCATGGTTGCTCAACTGCAGTTGCCATGTATGGTCTGATCTAATGTAGTTGCCATGATTTCATAACTTTAGGAGTTGTCACATGCTAACACTAGGCAGTTGAGAGAGTTGCCATGTGCTCACAAGCATGCTAGGGCAGTTGCCATGTAAAAAGGAAGAGTTGCCATCTGCTAACGTGCACGTTAGGACAGTTGCCATGTACGTGCACGTTGGGGCAGTTGCCATGTACGTGCACGTTGGGGCAGTTGCCATGTACCATGCAAAAACACATGGCAACTCGGTAAAAGAGAGTTGTCATCTGCTTACGTGCACACTAGGAAGTTGCCATGTACCCTGCAAAAATACATGACAACTCGGGTAAAAAAAGAGAGTTGCCACCTGCTTATAAAGCACACTAGGGGCAGTTGCCATGTGCGCTGCAAAAACACATGGCAACTAGCCGCTGGGGTGTGGGAGAGGAGACGGGCGTGTGGGCGAGATGGCAAATGCCCACACACCAGCCCTTGTGCGTGACTAAAAACTGGTGTGTGGGTGAATTGCTAAACGCCCACACATCGGTCCCTCCGTGTGGTAAAACGGATGTGTGGGCGAACTATGTCACACACCACACACACGCCTTGTCCTACGTGGCACAGAAAATCAGCCAGATTGTGCCAAGATTCGTGCATATAGTACTGAACGGTGATGGATGCGTGTGGTCGAGATGGTCAACGCCTACACATGTGGGCGTTAACATTTCCGTAGAATTTTAAGTAGTGATTAGTATGATGAATTTTAACTACCGTTAAAAGGAGTAGACAATATGACGATCATGTGTCCATTAGGTAAACCACCGAACACTCCCGCTCGAGCCTAGAGCAAAGGAAAAGGGTGATCCATATGAGTCATTCGTCCTTTACTTGCCGAGCACTTTCCTCTTCTCTCCATCCAATAACCAAAACTCGTGTACTAATCATCCTTCTTTGCTCCCCTCTTGCCTCGCAAAACTATAGTGTGTTGACCTGTCATGTTATCAAGTTCTCAGAGATGGGTAGCGGACTTCTGCTGACGCCTTCGCGAAGGAGAAGGTGTCGGGATGTGGCGGCGAGTTCGTCTTACCCTTTGATATTAGAAAGAAAATTGTGAATACACATAAACATGTGTACTATGTATTTATAAAATTTTATGCAACCTTTGTAAGTTAAGATAAAACGTTTATTAATTTAGAGAGGAGCAATACTTTTCACATGTGGCATACAAAAAAGACAAATATCTATTTCAAATGGGCCAAAAAAGTTGTTGGGCTGACTTTTATCCGTGTAGCCTACAAATCACAATATTTTCAAACAAAATTTCATAGGCCGTACCGCACACATATTAGTTTTTACAAGAATATTTTTAGAAAAAAATTAAACATGAATTTTGTTATTATTTTAAATACCAAGCTCCATGAAGCAATACGTCTGCACACCTGGTGAGGGCCATACGCTGGCGTACAGGAAGGAAAACATCCTATTCCCAGTTAGAGGCACAATGTATCTCCTAAGTTTTCTAAGCTTCGGCCTGGCCGCATGCATGGTGGGCGAGTGGCACCGTGCAGTGGGTTTGGTGGCGTTATTCCGGCCCCGATGGCCTCGGGCCTGCGTTCACCGGTGTCCGTGGCTTGCGCCGCCTCTGCCGGCGCAGCTCCGGCCCCAACGACCAAGTAGTTGCGTTCTCCTCCAGCTTACTCTGTCGGTCGGTGTCCTGTCGACTACGACCCCAACAACTTGGATCTGCGTTCCTCCGGTTTCTAGCTTGCCGGCATCGCCGGTTGCCATTGATTACCTTGTGCAGGTTTCTCTCTGCCTCGTCATGTCCCCAACGCCGTATACCTCCACGCCTCACCTTGAGGCAGATCCAATGCTCGTGTGTTCGATGACGCCCGGTGCCATCCTCCGACGGCAGCCCCCACCAACCCTTTTCTTGACGTGGCAGTTTCAACTGGCGGTGACTTACTCATCATAGAGTCCATATTCGATGGCTATGGGATTGCTTAGACTCTTGCCAAGGAAAAATCCTTGCTCGGCTAGTCCGTGCTGACAACGGCGTCACTCATGGGTGTCATTTCCCTTATTGAAGGCGCTGCCATGGCCTCCATCTGTGCCCCTCTTCGAGCTAGGGGAAACCCTAGGTCTGGTTCTCTGGATCGGATGACAACGACGTCTCAGCATCGTTTTCTTTCATGAAGGCGCTATCTTGATCGCTTGCGGTGTCCCCGGTGGTGACTTTGCTATGTTGAATCCATTGCTTGTTCGGTCTACCTCTCTTGTTGGGTCTTGGTAGGTTTAGCTGTGTGTATCCTCTGTTCCGGGCCGAGCATTCCTTATTTCTCTGCTCCGTGCACCATGTTCGCACCTCCTTGCGTTTGTGTCATGTGTTGTACTCAACTTTGTACTCATTCTAATTCCTTCTATCAATGAAAGATATGCAAGCTTTGCGTATTCGTGAAAAAAAATCTAAGCTTCCAGGAAATGCACGCTCGTGGTGCCTCATTTCTTTGTGGCGGGTTCACTGCCTGAGGTGTTTGGGTCTACTTCTAAGCACCCAGGAGATGCACGCTCGGGGTGCATTGAGGCTTTGGGAGGCGCACATTGGCCATTTTTATGTGACTGGTTCGCTGCCTGAGGTGTTTGGGACTAAGCTCTCATATCATTCTCAAATGTTCGGGCAGCCACCCTGATCATAGTCCTGGGTTTTTTTTGTCACCCAACCAGACACCTTAAATCCGGCGTTGCTATGCATCGCCTTTAGCAAGTTGTAGCACACGCGCCGCTTGCGCGCCTCCTTAAACAGGCCTGGCCCATATGAGGGAGCAAGCGTATGCAGAAAAGCGTGGTGGCACCAGTGAGTGAGCACCAGCTAGCGTGTGTCTCGAAAAATATGTTTTCTTAATGGCCGCAAATTTGAATTCTGATCATTTCTGGAAACCAGAAAATTCTAGAAAAAACCGGTATATGTTTGGGAATGTGAAAATTACATGAAATGCCTCAAACATTTTTTGAAAATACGACCAAATCTGGAACTTTTTTTTGGAATCCTAAACAAATATTTTGAATTCAAAAAACCATGCAAATTCAAATTCTTTTTTTGATAATAAAATAAGTTTTCAAATACGGTGAGCATTTTTACAAATAACATACTGAACAATTATTTAATATATGTTGAACATTTTGTATATATAATGAACATTTTTAAATATACAGTGATTTTCTAACAAAATACACACTATAAATTTTTTTAATATATGATGTATATTCTAACTGTATACAGTGAATTATTTTCTCATATACGACAAACAATTTTCAGTTACACTTCTTTTGATATACGGTGAACTTTTTTTGAAAATCACAAGCAATTTTTGACATCCCAATTGTTTTTTAAAATGTTTAGTCACTTCTGAAATTTGTAAACATTTCTTGAAATTACAAATAAATAAATAAATTCCAAACATGTTTTGATAAAACACAATTTTTTTTAAATGTGAATATTTCAAAAAACACTAATAATTTTCGAAATTATGAAGATTTTTTAAAATTTACGAAATTGAAATACTGAGAAGAAAAAGGAAACAGCAAAATGAAAAGGATGAAAAACTGAAAGGAAACAAAAAACCAGTAAAAAAATAGTCATGAGTTTAAAATAATAAGAAGGGAAAAAAAAACCTGGCAAAAACCATAGAGAAGAAAAGAAACATGCAGGAGCTTCCTAAAACCGATGGGAATGCTTCCGCTCGGTGGGCCAGGCCAATCGGCGCCTTAACGCTCACAAAGAGAGACACATATCATTTGCGTTTTAAACCGGCCCATTCATCCAGATTGTCCCGCACCCCACATATCCATTCCATATGTGAGGCGGATATGATGACGCTTGGATGCGTCCGTTACGTCAAATTTAGTTCATGTTTGCCCACCCTGAACCCACAAATATGTGTCTCTATCGATTCTAACCACTTTACTTCACTCCGGTCTGCGCCGCTATGTCTACAAACTCCTCTCCGACGATCTCCGACATGATGGATCAGACTCCTAAAAGTCCAGATCCGTCAACTCGGACCTCATAGAAACCAGTACGACGCAAGAATGTCCCACCACGGCGGGGACGTACGCTGTCTATCGGGCATGAACCCTATTCGTCACGTTTCAAGCAGGGTGTCCTCTTCCAGACTTACTCTCTGAATATGAAACCACAGGTCCAAGTGAGCACGCGCAGAGGAAAATGATTGCATGCATATCCAATCGCACCGCTGTGCAACTACGTACGTACGTGCTTGGGCCGTCTATACCGTGCATCGCAATGCACGTCAGACAAAGTGAACGCGGGGAGCTTCTTCCGTGATGCATCCACACGCCTCAAACTGGCCGATGGTTATTTAAGCTCGATCTTCTCCCACATCGGTCTGAACTAAGGCAGCTTACTAGCTAGCTAGAGTTCAGTTAACAGCTGATTGAGGACACCAGCTACGTAGGTACACATCCTTGCTCACAGGTTGCAAAATGGCTTCTCTCACGAGTAGTCCATGGCTTCATCTCCTACTGCTTCTCGTGGCCATGGGCACATTGGCGGCAGCCGGTGGCAGCGGGAACCCCACCGCCGGATTCCAGAAGGTGCAGCTCGCCGACGGCGACTTCCAGGTGCAGAGCCCGTACAACGTTCCGGAGAGCCAGCGGTTCCAATACCGCAACGGTGTGCGGACGTTTTGGGTGCACCGAAATGACAAGCAACCCGCGCTCTGAAGTTAGGCTCCGGGTAAGTACATAGCACATTGTTGAAATTCCTGCGTTCCAAACCGGCCATGGAGTCACATATATGAGCTATGCTCTTCCAGGGCCACGACTACTCGTCGGGGTTGTGGCAGTTTGAGGGCTATGGCTACGTGCCGTCCGGGACTTCCGGCGTGTCGGTGATGCAGATCCACAACGAGGAGGGCGCCGCGCACTCGACGGTGTTGATGTTGCACGTCTACAACGGAGTCCTGCGGTTCTACAGCGGGGTGGTCATCGAGCCCAACATCTACGACCGGTTGTTCCGCCTCAACGTGATGCATGATGTCGGCGCGTCCACGGTGGCCGTTTATGTCGACGGCGAGCACAAGTTCAGCACCAGCGTGACCCCGAGCAAGTCATACTACTGACCAACGTCACACTCTATACTAAGCACTAGACGGTAGATAGCCATGTGTATTGGTAATATATTGGTAATGCGTACTAGCATGCATTATGTTTACACCACCCATGTATATTACATTATTACCACAAGAAGTTGAATAAGGGTTGTTTCTTGGAGTAGTACACGCACATGTGACCCCTAACATGCCCGTGACTTCTTTTTAAAATGTCTTTTTAAAATGACTTTTAAGAACCGTTAAAAGGAGTAGACATGTAACGATCATTCATTCGTTAGGTTAACCACCGAACACTCCTGCTCGAGCTCCAAAGCAAAGAAAAAGGGTGATCTATATGAGCCGGTCGTCCTTTACTTGCCGGTCGGGGACTTTCCTCTTCTCTCCATCCAATGATCCAAACTCGCGTACTAATCCCGCTTCTTTGATTTCCTCTTGTCTCGCAAAATTATGGAGTGTGTTGACCTATCTCGTGATCAAGTTCCTAGAGATGGGTAGTGAACTTTTGCCGATGCTTTTGGCGGTGGAGAAGGCGTCGAGATGTGGTGGCAGCGAGTTTGTCTTACCCTTCAATTTCGATGATTTTTTCACAAACCGCCTTGATTCCCTCGACGTGCCTCCCACGGGTAGACCTTGGCTAGTTCTATAATCTTGCTTATGCTTTCATCTTTCCCCTCTACATGCACGCAACATTTTGTTAAAGGGCTTGATGGCAATCAAATGGGTGTAGATGGACTGAAGCGTAAATGTGCTATTCTTTACTACTGGGCGAGAGGATGAAAGTTTGAGCTTTGGAGAAGAGATAAGTAAAGCTATTTGTAATTTACTCTTACTTCTCTTTGCTTCTTGTTTAGTGAAAATGATGTGGCAGTAGCGAGCTTATCTCCCCCTCAATATCGATGATCTTTTCACAAACCACCATGATTCACCCAAGTTTTGCCTCCCATGGGTAGACCTCGGCTAGTTCGGTAATCTCGCTTGCTTGTACTTTCATTTTCCCCTTTGCACGCACAAAACATTATTTCGAAGGGGGTGTTGGTTATCAAATTGATGCAGATGGGCTAAAGCCTAAAGGGCACTACTCTTCACGACTGGGTGGGAGGATGAGAGTTCTAGCTTTGGAGAAGATACAAGTAAAGATATTTGCCATTGCTCCCAATTATCTTATTTTTTCTTGTTTAGGGCGAATAATATGGCGTGATGTAAAAGTGATACGTCCATTTTGCATCACTGTTTTTATTATAATTTACACTTTATTAATGATATTTCGCACGTTATTGCTAAATTCTAATGCCCCCCACCCCTCTTCAAATTGCATGTAACACATGAAGAGGGAAATTATATGGAAAATGCGAGACACCTAGAAAATAGTGGCAAAACAAAGGATAGAATAAAAATAATTTTTTCTAGAGCTTCGAAGGACCTGGAAATTTTACTGGCTATTTCCCAAACGAAAGAAGATGGAGGCCAGAAGACAGTCCAAAGGGGGTCCACCATGCGGCAAGGCCACATGCCCCCCTAGGCCGTGTGGGGAGGTCGCATGGAGCCCTTGGCCACTGCATATCGACGCTCGTTGTCTATAAATTCTTATTTGACCTGAAAAGTCTATGGATAATTTTTGGGAATTTTTCGGTGCCATATACGAGACGAAGAACTTTGCCATCCGGCAGGTTGATTTTGCCGAATATTCATACCTCCTAGAGAGGGAATTCAGAGCCATCGTCATCACCAACACTCTGGATCATCATCCGATGGAAATATGCTCTAGAGGCAATAATAAAATGGTTATTATTATATTTAATTAATCATGATAAAGGTTTATTATTCATGCTAGAATTGTATTGACCGGAAACTTAAATACATGTGTGGATACATAAACAAATACCGTGTCCCTAGTGAGCCTCTACTAGACTAGCTCGTTGATCAAAGATGGTTAAGGTTTCCTAACCATCACTAGTGCAGCATGCTACTAACACGACACTACGATCAGAGACCCTTTGAGGAAACTGTGTGTGATGCATTAGTCGCAAATGGTGGTGTAAAAAACCGTCAAAAAGGTGCAAAATGTTTGCGATGATGGATGCATCAAACACGGTTCAGATTTTAGTTATGTGTGTGATTTAGGGCATACGGTTCAGTGTAATTAACCGTTTGTGATAAGGAGCAACAAAAGAAACGGGCAGCCAGATGAAGGTGTGTGCGATAAACAACATACAGTTCACTAGGATGAATTGTTTGTGATTAGGCAACACAAAAGAAATGGTCAGTCAGAACAAGGTGTGTGCGATATACGGCATGCGGTTCACGTGGATGAACTGTTTGTGTTGAGACAAGGGAATCTAAACGGTTCAATATAACAAGATTTGTGTGATACGCGGCAAACAGGACTGTAATCAGAAATGTGTGCGAAGACCGATAATAACACAGACGATTGCTGCTAATAAGACGTGTGTGTTTTGCGATGGGATTGCATACAGAACAACAACATATATATACACACCTATAAGGACACGGTTGCATAACCAAATTAAACATCCTCTTACATAGGTGGCTACTATAACCATGTCATTTGCACACACCAAAGTAAACTATTACATGCATAATTACATAGGTGGCTACTACACACATTTGGCACCCCGGCTCAGAGCGTCCGGTTTACCCTGCATTGCCTGTCCAGAGACCTTGTCTTCTGGCAACACACAACAAATTGGTACAGAAAACCAACCGCTTTATTTATGCTAGCGGAGCATAGTTCATATTACAACAGTTAGCGAGGCCAAGCGGCACATACGGTGCGGCTGAACAATATGTACATTATTTAGTGAACATAAAGGGGCCTTGATCATGACAACTACGCGGCAGTGGAATAATGTCGTAGCGGGACTCCATAGCACAGGGACACCGATGTGGACACGATCTAGACTCAGACAGCTCTCCTTTCCAACGAGACTTTCCTGAAATCTGGCATGACACGCCAGGTCAGTACATTGAATGTACTTGCAAGCTCACAACAAGCATAAACATAATGACAAACAATATCATGATATTTAACCAATTAATAACAATGCAATAATATATCCAACATGCCGTGATTATGCTCAAGTGGTACTCGTCCCACGGACTGGCTTACCGAACGTGATCATTTCCAGACCACAAACGTGAAGAACTCAGAGACAAACTCGTGATCCTTATAGCGATCACAACCACGACCAACACTTGGTCTCAAACCGTGATCCTTATGGCGATCACAACCCGACCACACCTGGTCCAACTCAACATGATTGCCTTACTGCCATCACCTCAGTGCAAATCTTAGTGTGCAAATTTATTAAGTGTTGACCCATGGTGTACCCTACTTTCGAGCGTGTCCGTAACCATGGACTCGGCTATCGATAGATTAATACACTCTGCAGAGGTAGCGCACTGGACCCACACTACGGAACCCATGGCCTCGCACTCCCATTCGGGTGGACCAACGACATTCCGATGAAAGCACTTCATTGTCATGACACTCTGTCGGCCACTCCGACTCAATCCCGATCGGGCTAGTCCTGGGTGGCCCCGTGTCTACCTCAAGACACCTCAACCACCATCGTGGCCACGATCCACTCTGGGAAATGGTACCAAAAACTTAACTCATCAACGGGCTCACAAGGTTATGCCTGCTTACCAGGCCAGGGTACAACACGCCCATAACCTTCCCTAGATGGAGGCACCGACCAGAGGCACAACAATGAAACGCATTAAGGCCGTCCCATACCGGCAAATATGATTGCACTGGGAAAAACTCATTTCAGCGGCACCATGACCCGGTCAACAACATATTCAAGTTGAGTTATTTATCAGGTTCAACTTAAAGTGAAAGTAACTGGTGTCATAATGCCATGCCATGCATCAACAACATATGCATCACATATCCATGAAAATAACTAAGTCAACTACGCTCCCACTGAGCTATCATCAACTCATGATACTTCTCTGGTTAAGATTCAACCTCACTTAAACCAGAATCATTTCTAGCAATCTCATCATTTTTCATCATGCAAGAATAATAATTTAACTGATTATTTGACTCCATGATCAGATCATTTTATCATTACTAAATTCTTGTTAGCTTATCATCAAGATTCACTTCAAACTTTCTGTCAATCAAGCATATTTAACATGACAAGCACCTAACAGAATATAATTATCATAATAATAATTTAAATGCATGAATAGTCATAAGTTCAAGTAGGAAAATCACAAATATTGAAGTGGTACTATGAAAATGTTGCCGTGGCTTGCCTTAGTGCAGATGAGGTTCACAAACCTCCTGGTGATCCTCAAGACAAGCCTGCTCTTCTGAAAATATATAAAACCACAAAAAGCAAACATCAAGAAACCTTCTAAAAATTACCAGAAAATCTAGACAGCAAGGAAAAATCCCATCTTTTGGGTGCTGCTAGATTTTTGGACAAAGAACACAATGCAAAAAGAATCAATGCATTTGGACTTATGGATAAAAAGTTATAGTTGTTTGACATTTCCTAGATTTAAATGAATTTGAATTAAAAATATAACAGACTAGGGAGTGACGTCAAAGGCGTAAAAGCCTAGTGCGCCATCACTCGTACCGCTTTGTGCGTGTACTGAGTGGATGCTAGCGGGCCCCGCTAGTCAGGTCAGAACGAGGGGGAGAGGGAAACAAAGAGAGGCGGAGCTTCGCCAGAGCGCACGCCGGCGGCGAGGGATCTTGGGGCCAAACAAGAGGGGGAAATCAAAGGAGAAGAAGACAGCGCACCTGCCCATACCCGTAGCGTGGCTAGAGGTGACCGGACGACGTCGGAAATGGCCTGTCCAGCGAAGGCTGAGGGCAGCGGTCGCTGGAGACGAAGACGACGGCGACTCGGGGCGGCTCCGAGGGCTCAAACAGGGCGGAATGGCTTCACCGAAGAGTTGTGGAGGCCCTGGCAGGGTCACCCTGGCCTGGGAGGGGTTGGAGCTGCGGGGACAATCCGAAGGGGATCGCT